GCCCAGTAACCAGATGAGAGAAACTTCAATTTCTTCAGGAATAAAAATCCAAGCAGTTCAGCTTCCCACCAAAAGGGGAATCGTAATATATCCTTGGATACACACATGTATCCATCCTGGATGATACCTGTGTCTCCTCTAGCTCATGCAGGTGGCTCCACCAGCCATAGGAAAGCAGCCAAATCCAAGCGTGGGTAATTATAGATCCATGTACACTATGGTCCTCATAGGATATTAAGACTCTTGGACCTTTGGGGCAAGGGCCTTGCTTAGGCATTCTCAAAGAGGTGGATTCTAAACTCATCGAAATGATCAGGGGGACACAAGACTTCCAGTTTCAGGCTGTTTCAGCCCGTCAGTGTGTGATCCAAAGAGGAAACGCCTCTGACCATTCATTGTAATCCTAAATGTGTAACAAAATAATTTGTTTTGCCTAAAACAGAATCAATTAATAAAATACATATATACAACTGCATTCATTGATGACGACATTGATGGGGACACCGGGGGCTCGGGTAAACACCGCATATAATGAAGAAAAAACAGGGCTTCGTATTTGTAGTGTAAATATTTGTATTTGTAAAGATGTGTACAGATGTAACCCCGTGTTCTTCACCCTGTGACTGCAGTGTTCCTCTGATAGTAAGGTGTAAAATCTCTGCTAACTGTGAAGAAACTCCTGCAGTTCAAATCTTCCTGAACAAGTGAAGAAGATGATTGGGGAAGAATTGTAAAAATCCTGTAACTAATTGATCAAAATAGAGTAATAAGAGTAGGACTCCTATTTTGCCAATAAGTTTTAATATATTGTGAATTATTACATCTAATAACATCAATACTAAAAGCAAGCTGAAGCCGCGAATGTTCCACCAGCTCACGAACGAATATGTTGCCCACGAACGTGGGAATGGAGGAAGGTAAGGTAATTAGCAAGAGAAGGCACCAAGCCAAAGGGCACACAGGAAGGAGGGGGAAGAACCACTGTAGATGGTATTACCTGTATATTATGGCATTACCTGTATATTAGGAGAATCTTTTTATTCTGGTGTTAAGGGGTGAGAGCGTCTGAGATGACTGGCGGGCCAGGCTCGCCCTTCCTGGGTGTTCCCGCCGAAGAATGGCTCAGGTTTCATGTTTTCTTCAGACGACTGAGCCGTGTTAAGAAGTAAACAACTGAAGCCATATGCAACCTGAGACAGCCTTCGTTGGGAACGCCCGGAGAGAGGCGACAGGTGCGGGTTTGATGACGCGAAGCACCGAAACTCGGGACTTCTTGTAATTGGAACACCTGTCTAAAATGGGGCCTGAATTGGCAGAGGTACTGCAGGAAAGTGAGATGGTTTTGTGTTGGTGAGTAATGATTTATGAGTGAACAGTGTCTCTTTGAGTGAACAGTGTCTCTTTGAGTGAACAGTGTCTCTTTGAGTGAACAGTGTCTCTTTGAGTGAACAGTGTCTCTTTGAGTGAACAGTGTCTCTTTGAGTGAACAGTGTCTCTTTGAGTGAACAGTGTGCCACTCTTATTAAGGTTCTGTGTGTGTCCACTGGCTGTATATAGCGCCTACAGCCTGCACTTTAAAGTAGGAATGGGGACGCATGGCGAATTACCATTTCTGTGCGTTGGTAGTTAGGCGCGGCAGTTCCCGTAACTTCAAGGCTGGTAGTGAAAATACTCACACAGGTGGCTGGCTCCACTAACACAATAACTACACATGACGAGGTCACCGGGAGCTGGCTTGGGGGGGAACTTTTCCAGAGGGGATTACATCAATGTAACCTTGTAATATAGTTAGAAGCAGTAATATATATAAATATGTATATATATATATATATAATAAATATGTAATATAGTTAGAAGAATTATATTTATAATATATTTGGAAGTTGAAAGACAGTCGGGGGTCACCACGGTTGGTTATCCTCGGTGTTTCTTGGCCTGGTCGGTAGAGCGACGGTCTTGTTTCTTGACGGGTTGAGGTTCGAGCCCCAATGGTCCAAGTGATTGGGTTACGTTACTTCACTTCGTTCATATCTTAGTTGCTATCTCGTCCTCATATCCCAGCTGCTATCCCGTCTTCATATCCCAGCTGTTATCCCGACCTCACATCCCAGCTGCTATCCGGTCCTCACATCCCAGCTGATATCCCGTCCTCACCTCCCAGCTGTTATCCCGGCCTCACATCCCAGCTGCTATCCCGTCTTCACATCCCAGCTGCAATCCTGTCTTCACATCCCAGCTGCTATCGCGACCTCACATCCCAGCTGCTATCCGGTCCTCACATCCCAGCTGCTATCCCGTCCTCACATCCCAGCTGCTATCCCGTCCTCACATCTTAGCTGCTATCCTCTCCTCATATCCCTTCCAAGAGCTTAGTGCTTTCTCCTGTAATAAGAAGGATACCATACGGAACCTGATATGTTGTGTAACCCCACCATAACACCGTCCACAACTCCCCAAACAGCATTGGTAAATAATGACTCTTCCATAGAAAGCACACAATAGGGGATCCAGGCGGTTATAAACTACACCCCCCCCCCCCACAAAGACTTGTGGAATGGCCGGGATTTGAGAACTAGAAAGGTGGCAAAGGTTCACCCGCGAAGGAGTGACCGGACGTTCCGTGAACGGGTTCCTTCACTATATTAATTAAAAATCCACTCGGTCTCACTTCCTATTCTGACGAAAAGATCGCAATCTAGTGACCGAGTTTTTCACTAAAATTAAATGCAAGGGTTCACTGGATATTCTAGATAAAGGCGTTTTTCTTAACCTCTGTCAGCATCTAGTAAAACTAGATATCTTGTGAGGCATGATGCATGGTCTCTATTTTGTTACCCCCCCCTAAAAACAAATAAATATATATATATATATATATATATATATATATATATATATATATATAATATATATATATATATAATGCTCTCAACAGGATTTATGTTATCTCTCTGCTTTTATTTTGACCATTATCTGACAATGCTGTCATGCTAGGAATGCTGGTGTGTTGTTTAGAACTTTATTTATATTTTTCTGTTTGAATTATTGGTAAAAAAAATTGCTATTCTGTGTTGAATTTCATTAAGCCCTTTTACACGAGACAATTATAGTCTCATTGTAGTATTTCTCTTCGTTCGAGGTTTTCCAAGTGTTCGGCAGCTCTCTTTATGTTTCTCACTTCACACTCTTTCTTAATCTCTCACTTCTCACAGGATGCATTTGGGATCCAGAATAAATGAACTCAAAAACTATAATTTCTCTACTCTCGAACTATGATGACAAGGCACTGAGCTCAAGAGGCTTGTTGGCCCTGGCATCGTTGAGGAGGACCCGGCGAGCTCCATGATTGCCGGCCATCTTACGAGTTAATTACCCGTGTTTGGGGTGTGTGAATTCATCCCGGAAGTACCACAAGGGAGTCGCGCAGGCGTTATTGGGCAACCCGTTCTCGCACTTTCTCACAGTGCGAGAACGCACTGTGAGAATATAACCTATACCTATAATAGGTTAAGTAATAATTGTAATTATGAAGCAATAAGATGCTTATCTTAACATACTAAGAAGGTTAGGTAAGGTCGGTGTTTTCTATGAAGATTTTCAAGGTAAACTAAAATATTCACAAGAAATTAGTATGTCACATATGCACGTATTTAATAAGTCAATATTGACTATACGAAAGTGCGAGAACGGGTTGTATTGGGAGTGGGAGGGAGGTGGATGCTGGGAGGTTGGCTGTAGGTGGGAGCATAAGAGGTGGGTGGCAGCGGTTGCCACTATAGTATCAGGGGACAGAATGAGGCTGTTTCGGTCCTATGGCACTCAATGCTAACATATCTGTATTGTGCTAACCTCACAGCGTCCTGCGTAACAGGCTGACGTTGTTTAAGCGCGTGTTGTGCGGGGTGTCGGCCGTTGAAGACCAAACCACACAGCAGAAAATGAAGAAACGACGACGTTTCGGTCCGTCCTGGACCAAAACGTCGTCGAAAAGTGAGCCATATTCAGACAATCAAGTCGTGTCTGTATGTGAATTGTCGCCTGTTGTCAGTGTTCTTGGGAACCTCCAGTTTTACACGGGTATATGTTGGCTTATAATGTGTGTTTGTTGGCTTATAATGTGTGTGTGTTTGTTGACTTATAATGTGTGTTTGTTGACTTATAATATGTGTTTTTGTTGACTTATAATGTGTGTGTGTTGACTTATAATGTGTGTTTGTTGGCTTATAATGTGTGTTTTTGTTGACTTATAATATGTGTGTGTTTGTTGGCTTATAATGTGTGTTTGTTGGCTTATAATGTGTGTTTGTTGGCTTATAATGTGTGTTTGTTGACTTATAATGTATGTGTTGACTTATATTGTGTGTGTTGACTTATATTGTGTTTGTTGACTTATAATATGTGTTTTTGTTGACTTATAATATGTGTTTGTTGACTTATAATATATGTTTGTTGACTTATAATATGTGTTTGTTGACTTATAATATATGTTTGTTGACTTATAATATATGTTTGTTGACTTATAATATGTGTGTTGACTTGCGTGTGCGTGCTGACTTACAGTAAGCCGTTGATATTGTATGTGATAACGCTAATGTTGTATATGTTCTGTGCTTGTAGTTACAACACACACACCAGCGTGTTGTTGATGCTGCTGTGGTTGTGAGAGAGAGAGAGAGAGAGAGAGAGAGAGAGAGAGAGAGAGAGAGAGAGAGAGAGAGAGAGAGAGAGGAGAGAGAGAGAGAGAGAGAGAGAGTGGAAGTTGTGGTGGAGGCTTCATCAATGTTTTGTACAGTCCAATATTGTATTTTAATGGTCCATGACGGAACGAAACGTCGCTACTTACCTGTCGTATGAGCGAGGTTGGGTGATGGTTCGGGATGGACCGAAAGGTTCGCTCTATACCTCGTGTCATGTGTGTAGGTGGAATTATTTGTTAGAGCCATGTTATTGTGACTCATACTCTGTTTCTGTGTTTTTTTTGTGGGTTTTTGTATTTTGGTAAGTGAGTCCCCATGTCAGCGGCAGCGTGGAACTGCTAAATATAAACGCGACAACGGCAGCGAGCAACGCAACAACGGTAGCGAAAAACGCAACAACGGCAGCCAGAAACTCAACAACGGCAGCCAGAAACTCAACAACGGCAGCCAGAAACGCAACAACGGCAGCGAGCAACGCAACAACGGCAGCCAGAAACGCAACAACAGCAGCGAGCAACGCAACAACGGCAGCCAGAAACGCAACAACGGCAGCCAGAAAAGCAACAACGGCAGCCAGAAACGCATCAACGGCAGCCAGAAACTCAACAACGGCAGCCAGAAACGCAACAATGGCAGCCAGAAACGCAACAACGGCAGCCAGAAACACAACAACGGCAGCCAGAAACGCAACAAGGCAGCCAGAAACGCAACAACGGCAGCCAGAAACACAACAACGGCAGCCAGAAACGCAAAACGGCAGCCAGAAACACAACAACGGCAGCCAGAAACGCAACAACAGCAGCCAGAAACGCAACAACGGCAGCAGAACAACAACAACAGCAGCCAGAAACGCAACAACAGCAGCCAGAAACGCAACAACAGCAGCAAGCAACACAACAACAGCAGCGAGCAACGCAACAACGGCAGCCAGAAACTCTTCAACGGCAGCCAGAAACTCTTCAACGGCAGCCAGAAAAAAAAATGGCCCTGGGATCGCGCTCGCAAATTTCACGGGCGTAACACTCCCCCCTCCCCCCCCCCTCGTTAACGAAGTGTGGGAAAAGGCACAGAATTCTTCCGACGTGCGACCGAGGACGCCGTACACGGGCTTCAGGGGACACGCCTGGACAAAAAGGACAAAATTGGTTTCCGGTGCGTTTGTGTGCTGTGGGCAACTCCCTTAGTTACTCGCGCCAATCCTTCGTGTGCTGACACGACGAAATTAGTTTTTGATTTGTTTAAGATGAATATTTCACGATTAACTGTTAAATAGGCAAACATATTCTTGCAGGTATTTACAAATGTGATTATATATATATATATATATATATATATATATATATATATATATATATATATATATATATTATATATATATATATATATTATATATATATATATATATATAAAGAACAAATTCACAAGGGCCGTGACGAGGATTCGAACCTGCGTCCAAGAGCATCCCAGACGCTGCCTTAATCGACTGACCAGGTTCGAATCCTCGTCAAGGCCCTTGTGGATTTGTTCATTTGATGCATCATGTTATTGTGATTTCTGTGTGTAATATATATATAAAGGGTTGAGGTGAGGTGAGAAACAATGCATTTAATAAGATCAGAGGATATTAATAAGGTATTACTGAGATAAATGGGTATCAATGATCACGCTCAAATTACTCTTAAACTGATCAATCAAAAATGGATCTAAATTATACAAACCACTGCTTATGTTCATATTACATGATTTTGTAATTTGTATTAAAGCAGATTCATTCATGTTTCTATTGAAAAGATTAAAAATCATTATTGAAGAAGCCATCTCCCAATCAATTTGGTGAGAACTTTCTGACAAATGTACAAACAAAGCATTAGACAATTGGCCATGTCTTACAGAGTATTTATGTTGGGAAATTCTAAATTTAAAATCTTTTGATGTTTGTCCAACAGAGAACCTATTACAGTCTTTACAAGTTATTTTGTAAATGACACAATTATCACTACGAGGACTCTTTCTAACTAATAGTTTTCCAACAGTATTTTCGTCATTAAACAATACCAGTATTGTTTAATTACGAGGTCCTATAATAGGGGTAAAGCCAAATAACGACCCCACAAAATGGGGAAGGTAGCTAGGCCGAGTCCCTAGATTTCTTCACAAGAAAATTAATTCAGTATTAAATAGAAATATGTCTGTTCGAGGGTGGAGACCACAAGAGAAAAAGAGAGGCAAGGGAAGAGAGGGGGGAAAGAGAGGAGAGGAGAGGAGAGGTGAGAGGAGAAAAGAGAGTATACAGAGAGGAGACAGAGAGAGAGAGAGAGGAGACAGAGAGAGGAAACAGAGAGAGAGAGAGAGAGGAGACAGAGAGAGAAAACAGAGAGAGAGAGGAAACACAGAGAGAAAGGAGACAGAAAGAGAGGAGGTGTACAGATAGAGGACCAAAGATGTAAATAAGGATCCAAGGATCTCAGGAAATAAAGCCGATAAACGAATAAAGTTTTGCTTTAACGAGCCTTTTGAAACACTGTGATTTTTGCCTCATTAAGAGACCATCGCCCCTCCACAGAGGCGTGACTGTGATACAACCACTGAACTACAACTTTCCCTGTGGCCCAGCCACAACATCTGCAGGAGGCTAACGATGGGGGATTGTCGTGCGTGTCGCGACAACCACGACAGACCCTGGTAATCCTGCCAACGATCTCATTAACAATGACTTTACAGCCCCCGGGGTCGTTAGAGCTCCAACGACCTTACAGCCTCAGTTTTATACCGACTCCCCGGGGCCGCTGACGGCTTTTACAACAGCGCAATAGAAGTGGTGGTCAAGATGACTTTATTTTTTTTTAGAGGCGCTCTTACTCCAGCCTCCACCCACATCAGTGATGCTCTCATCTTACTCCAGCCTCCACCCACATCAGTGATGCTCTCATCTTACTCCAGCCTCCACCCGCACCAGTGATGCTCTCATCTTACTCCAGCCTCCACCCACATCAGTGATGCTCTCATCTTACTCCAGCCTCCACCCACATCAGTGATGCTCTCATTTAGCACTAATTTAACAACGTCACAAGACCTCTAAACCTTGCAGGCACACAACCACACACCAGGTAACACATGGCATGACCAACCTCGTCACGTCACTCTTCACGTCGTCACGTCACTCTAACAACGTCACACTTCACCGAAACTTGCGAACACTGTGACAAGTTTCTGTGAACAACCGTCGAATCGTATCCCAGTAGCCAGCGCCAGTAGAGAGATGCCGTAAACCTTCCCTTCACCTGGGCCGCATGATAGGTAAATCTTCCCGACACAGCATGTGAAGGGCGACCCAAGAGCAACGGAAGGAGGAGGAGGAGGAGATACCACCAAGCCTACCGGACCTGATCTTCGCCTAGAATGAGGAAAACATTGAAAACTTGGAACACGAAGTACAGACTATAGAAAATGGGATTATATGAAAGTAAGAGTTGCCCAAACCACACACTAGAAATTGAAGAGACGACGATGTTTCGGTCCGACCATTATCCGCCCAGACAACATTTGTCAACATTTTTCAGCCACGTTAATGTGACTCATCATCTGCATATGAAAGTAAGAGTATCTGGCAAGTGTGCAATGGAAGGAGAAACTTGAAACACAGTTCAGGAAATGATGGACCGTCGAACTGAGATACAAAGAGGCGTAAAAGAGAGAGAGAGAGAGAGAGAGAGAGAGAGAGAGAGAGAGAGAAGAGAGAGAGGAGAGGAGGGAGAGAAGGGAGAGAGGGAGGGAGAGAGAAGAGAGAAGAGAGAGAGAGAAAGAGAGAGAGAGAGGAGAGAAAGAAGAGAGAGAGAGAGAGAGAGAGAGAGAGAGAGAGAGGAGGGAGAGAGGGAGGGGGGAGGGAGGAGAGAGGGAGAGAGGGAGAGAGGGAGAGAGAGAAGAGAGAGAGAGAGAGAGAGAGAGAGGAGGAGAGAGAGAGAGAGAGAGAGAGAGAGAGGAGAGGGAGAGAGAGAGAGAGAGAGAGAGAGATACCAACAATAAGATAAAACGAAGTATTAGAGAATATAATAACCCATGGATCAATAAATAATGCCAAGAAGTGCCAAAAAAGCGAAGAGGAGGTAACTTTAGGTGAGACCATTAAATATTAAAGTAACAACACAGGAAGAAGGACGCAGGAAGCATCACTACACGAAACTAAAACGATTGAACCAGACAACTCTTCAGCCCGAGTGTCCAAACAAGCCGTACAAGCTCTCAGCGTCCCTCTTGCATTGATCTTTAATGAGTCACACACACAAGGCGAAGAAGGCTAATGTGGTACCAATCTACAAGAGAGGAGATATAAAAGAGGAACTCGTCTACAGATCAGAATCAGTGACAAGCATCCCTTGCAAACTACTCGAAAGTATGATAAGGATAAGACTAGTTAAACGCCTAGAGATAATTTGGTGTGTAAACAAGGATCAACATGGCTTAAGGGACGGGAAATCGTCCCTGACGAACTTGCAAGAGTTCAGTGATAAAGTACCGAAATTAAGGCAGGAGAAAGACGGTTGGGCAGATTGGGTATTACTGGACTGCCATAATGCCTTTAATACAGTACCTCACAAGAGATTACTACACAAACCCGAGGGGCAGGACAGGAGTAAACGGTAAAGTACTAACATGGGGTATAAGAATTACCTAACAGACAGGAGTCAGAGAGTGACAGTAAGAGGCGAGAGGTCAGACATGCGCAGGGGAGGGAGGGAGCCGGTCGGCCGAGCGGACAGCACGCTGGACTTGTGATCCTGTGGTCCTGGGTTCGATCCCAGGCACCGGCGAGAAACAATGGGCAGCGTTTCTTTCACCCTATGCCCCTGTTACCTAGCAGTAAATAGGTACCTGGGTGTTAGTCAGCAGTCACGGGCTGCTTCCTGGGGGTGGAGGCCTGGTCGAGGACCGGGCCGCGGGGACACTAAAGCCCCGAAATCATCTCAAGATAACCTCAAGATAGGGTAACAATCTGAAGGCTCGGGGCTGGGGACCCGTAGTATTTCTCTTTTATGTAAATGACCTGTCTAGGGGAGTCAAGTCTTATAAATCGATGTTTGAACATGATGCAAAACTAATGAGAAGAGTTGTGACAGAGGGGATTAATTCTTGAAGATGACTTGAATAAGTTGCAAAGTTGGCCCGAGGAAAGGCTATTGGAGTTGAATACCTACAAATGTACTGTGATGGAACAGGTGTCAGGAGATAAAAGTAGTACACAGTGAAGAGGAAACTATCTCCTGATAAGGACTACCGAACAAGACTTGGGAGTTGACATAACACCAAACCTAACTCCGAAAGGTCGTATAAAGAGCTTTCGTATTCCTTAGCAGGAATACTAAATACTCTACACTAGGAAAAGTTAGAACATCTCTGAGAAACCTAAATAAGGAGTCATTTAGATCGCTGAATACCGCCTATGAGAGACCAGATATAAGTATGCCGCCCCCACTGTGGCGCCTAATCTTAAAAAAAAGGAAACTTGAAAATGCTGAGGAGTTTGCGACAAGACTCGTCCCAGAATTTCGTGGGATGGAATACGAAGAGAGACTCAACGAACTAGATCTGACGACACTGGAAAAAGAGGAGAATGGGGGACATGATAGAGACGTATAAAATACTTAGGGATATTGACAGTAGAAAAAGCCAGGAAATGTTCACAATGAACAAGACGGCATGTATGGAAGCTAGAGACTCAGATGAGTCACGGAGATCTAGGAAAACTTTCTTTTAGCGTAAGAGTAGTGAGAAAATAGAAGGAACAAAAGGGAATAGATTGAGGAAGTAAACTCTTTTTATAATGTAAAAAAATATATATGGTAGGGAAATAGGTCAGGAGTCAGTACATTAGACAACTGGCGATTAGTAAGGCGGAGTCCTAGCGCTAACAGCTCGATCATGCAGGCATAAATACAAGTAAATGCACACACACTAACACCACACACACACACACTAACACACCACACACAACACACCACACACACACCACACCACACACACACACTAACACCACACACACACACACTCCACACACACACCACACACACACACACACACACACACCCCGCCTGCAGCAATATCTGGGGTGACTGCTCCCGACACCTTGCCAACGCCACACCTCCACACCCCTCACCACTGTAGTGTACACCATCCACCACAGTCTTCCATCTTAAAACAGACGTGACAGTCTAAACAGAACTGGTTCCAACAATTCTCATTTTTGCCTTTGGAGTAGATCGTAGATACCATCAACGTCGACACTGTTGGGCAGCGCGTCCAGGTGACAGCTCCACAGTGAGGCGACTTACCACTAAACGCACAATTCATAGGAAACTGGAGACTGAAGGATATATTGGGACCTAGGACTAGGTTTCACAAGTCCGGGAGACTGGCAGGATTTACTAGGACTAGAGACTAGGTTTCACAAGTCCGGGAGACTGGCAGGATTATACTAGGACCTAGAGACTAGGTTTCACAAGTCCGGGAGACTGGCAGGATTATACTAGGACCTAGAGACTAGGTTTCACAAGTCCGGGAGACTGGCAGGATTATACTAGGACCTAGAGACTAGGTTTTACAAGTCCGGGAGACTGGCAGGATTATACTAGGACCTAGAGACTCAGTTTTACAAGTCCGGGAGACTGGCAGGATTATACTAGGACCTAGAGACTAGGTTTTACAAGTCCGGGAGACTGGCAGGGTTATACAGGACCTAGAGACTAGGTTTTACAAGTCCGGGAGACTGGCAGGATTATACTAGGACCTAGAGACTCAGTTTTACAAGTCCGGGAGACTGGCAGGATTATACTAGGACCTAGAGACTCAGTTTTACAAGTCCGGGAGACTGGCAGGATTATACTAGGACCTAGAGACTCAGTTTTACAAGTCCGGGAGACTGGCAGGATTATACTAGGACCTAGCTAGGTGGTCAGGGCTCCCACGCCCCGAGGACAACTATTGTGAAGGCCAGATGAATGAGAAGAGAAATGAGTGTGTATGTTTGGCCTGGAATGTCATACAATCATGCAGAACATGAATATGGGCTCTGCTCTCTCTATCTGCCTGACCTTAGGGGGGGCTCTGCTCTCCTCTCCTCTCTCTCTCTCTATCTATCTCTCCTCTCTCTCTCTCTCTCTCTCTCTCTCTCTCTATCTCTATCTCTCTCTGCCTGACTTTAGGGGGGTCTCTGCTCTCTCCTCTCTCTCTCTCTCTCTCTCTCTCTCTCTGCTCTCTGACCTTAGGGTCTCCCACACGCCAACACACACACGCCCACACACACACCCACACCACACGCCCACGCCAAACACACCAACGCCCACACCCACACCACACCACACGCTCACACCTACTGCAGCCCTCGTGGCCACCACCCTCCACACACAAGTGTCTCACCTAAACACTGCTCCAGACCGTAAGAACGACCTTGAAGGCGGACCATAACAGCAACTCAGCAACATGGCCGTTCGAGGCACTTAAACAACCCCCTCCCCCCTTCCCCCCCCCCCCCACTCGTGGTTATGTCTCACACCAGCCACTTGTAACAGCCTTGTTAAGCACGAACCTCTTAGGACACGCAGACGCAGAGGAATGAGAGTTAAGAGAAGAACATGATATTTTCAATTTTCAGTGAGAAGAAAAATGATCTTTTCACTTTTCATTGAGAGAAGAAAATGAACTTTTCATTTTCACTGAGAGAAGAAAATGAACTTTCATTTTTTGAGCGTAGAAAATGGACTTTTCCTTTTTCATTGAGAGAAGAAAATGAACTTTTCCTTTTTCATTGAGAGAAGAAAATTAACTTTTCATTTTTCACTGAGAGAAGAAAGTGATCCCCTCTTCAAAAATGACTGCATACGACCTAAAATAACTTCCTGACCGACTTCAGACATAGTTTCTTGATGAGTAAGCCACATACAGACAAGACATATAGTGTCTTGATGAGTAAGCCACATACAGACAAGACATATAGTGTCTTGATGAGTAAGCCACATACAGACAAGACATATAGTGTCTTGATGAGTAAGCCACATACAGACAAGACATATAGTGTCTTGTGAGAGTAAGCAAATACAGAAAAGACAGCAGCAGCCTCTGAACTCCACACACACTCACTCAACATGAGTGGTAGAATCAATATGACTGACAGTGACGGTGGATGAGTGAGCAGAGCTGCGGCCGGCTGAACATGTTCACGACGTGAGTGTGACTCATTAATAAACACCCCCACCCTCCACACCCCCACCCTCACACCCCCACCCAACCCACCCACACAGCATAATACATGTATCACTGGAGGGAGGAATGTGTCTCAAGTGTCTCCTTGACACCACTGTGTGGGGGAGTGGGGGAGGGGGGGAATGGAGGGGGGAGGGGTGGAGGAAATGGAGGGGGGGGGGGAGGGGGAGTTGTGGGAGTAACTACAATCGCGAGGTGATTCATGCTTATCCTCTGTATTCCAATCTATTCCTTACATCATCTCTCCCCCCTATTCCGTGTTACCCCCCCTCTTCCGTTAACAACCTTCCACCATCTTCTTGCTGTCCCACACACACACACACACACACACCAACCACACACCACACACACAACACACACACACACACACACACACACACACACACACACACACACACACACACACACTGATCCGCTCAGGAACCTGTACACCAGTTGATTGAGAGGCGGGACCAAAGAGCCAGAGCTCAAAGGTTGTTGGTCCAGATGGGATCTCACCATGGGTACTGAAAGAGTGTGCAGAGGCACTTTGCTTGCCACTCTCCATAGTGTATAGTAAGTCCCTGGAGACGGGAGACCTACCAGAAATATGGAAGATGGCGAATGTGGTCCCAATATACAAAAAGGGCGACAGGCAAGAGGCACTGAACTACAGGCCAGTGTCCTTAACTTGTATACCATGCAAGGTGATGGAGGAGATCGTGAGAAAAAACCTGGTGACACATCTGGAGAGAAGGGACTTCGTGACAAATCGCCAACATGGGTTCAGGGAGGGTAAATCTTGCCTTACAGGCTTGATAGAATTCTACGATCAGGTGACAAAGATTAAGCAAGAAAGAGAGGGCTGGGCGGACTGCATTTTCTAGGATTGTCGGAAAGCCTTTGACACAGTACCGCATAAGAGGCTGGTACATAAGCTTGAGAGACAGGCAGGTGTAGCTGGTAAGGTGCTCCAGTGGATAAGGGAGTACCTAAGCAATAGGAAGCAGAGAGTTACGGTGAGGGGTTAGACCTCCGATTGGCGTGAAGTCACCAGTGGAGTCCCACAGGACTCTGTGCTCGGTCCTATCTTGTTTCTGATATATGTAAATGATCTCCCAGAGTGTATCGATTCATTTCTCTCAATGTTTGCGGACGATGCTAAAATTATGAGAAGGATTAAAACAGAAGAGGACTGTTTGAGGCTTCAAGAAGACCTAGACAAGCTGAACGAATGGTCGAACAAATGGTTGTTAGAGTTTAACCAACCAAATGTAATGTAATGAAGATAGGTGTAGGGAGCAGGAGGCCAATTACAAGGTATCATCTGGGAGAGGAAATTCTTCAGGCGTCAGAGAAAGAAAAAGACTTGGGGGTTGATATCACGCCAGACCTGTCTCCTGCAGCACATATCAAGAGGATAACATCAGCGGCATATGCCAGGCTGGCTAACATAAGAACGGCATTCAGAAACTTGTGTAAAGAATCATTCAGAACTTTGTATACCACATATGTCAGGCCAATCCTGGAGTATGCAGCCCCAGCATGGAGTCCATATCTAGTCAAGGATAAGACTAAACTGGAAAAGGTTCAAAGGTTTGCCACCAGACTAGTACCCGAACTGAGAGGTATGAGCTACGAGGAGAGACTACGGGAATTAAACCTCACTTCGCTGGAAGACAGAAGAGTTAGGGGGACATGATCACCACATTCAAGATTCTGAAGGGAATTGATAGGGTAGATAAAGACAGTCTATTTAACACAAGGGGAACACGCACAAGGGGACACAGGTGGAAACTGAGTGCCCAAATGAGCCACAGAGATATTAGAAAGAACTTTTTTAGTGTCAGAGTGGTTGACAAATGGAATGCATTAGGAAGTGATGTGGTGGAGGCTGACTCCATACACAGTTTCAAGTGTAGATATGACAGAGCCCGATAGGCTCAGGAATCTGTACACCTGTTGATTGACGGTTGAGAGGCGGGACCAAAGAGCCAGAGCTCAACCCCCGCAAACACAACTAGGTGAGTACAACTAGGTGAGTACACACAACACACAGACAACTTAACGCACTGTGTACTAAAAACTACACAGTTTCTCAAATATCATTTTAATGTATATTAGATTTTTGAGTGTAGCGGCCTAAGAAAGATTAGGTTTCATGTTTGGTCTGGACAATTATTTGAATTTGCAACGTGGGCGAAGCATTTATAAAGGCGAGATTCGAACTCCGGCAGAGCGTAGCACTGTACAACAAAAGTTTAGCCATCAACAAAGGCCAAGTGATTGTTAACCAGCCTCCAAATGCCCTGTTTATGAATGAAGAGCGATTTACGCACCACTCAAATGATGAGGTTCGAACAGTGCTTTGCTGACGAGCTCTGTTCGAATCGGAA